ATGCCGAGACAAAACTACGACTAGAATCTTTCCTCACTCTTACTTTTGCGTCGAGGGGATTCGTCACAGGTTGCCCTTTAGAAGACTTATAAGAAGCAGCAATTTCCAAAAGCCTGCTATCTGCAAAAGGGTAACACCCCTTATATCAAGATACAGCTTCAAGAAAAGCACACATTGAAGACAACAACTTGACATAAGTGAATCCTAGTCTACGAAACTCAAGGAGGACTTGAAGGCTTACGGTTCTTGTTCATGTCTGAAACAAGGGTTGAAACCCGCCGAGGAATTTCCCCCATCTCGGTTCGGACAGGAGCTCTCTGCTGAAACCAGTCCTCCATTAACCGAGCTGCAGTGCCTTTGTTATCTCCACTTATCAGCGAATTTGTACGGCTCATGGAAGTCCCGTGAGTTGCAAACCAGTTGAAGCTAGCAATCGGGCCGGAGCGAGAATCTACAAACTTGAGGAGTGCCATCTCTTTGTCGACATCGTACTTGTATATACTCCTTTCAGATGCAGGGTTGTTGAGATAAGCGCTGGGACTACGGTTCACGCCAGCATCCAAGAGCTCTCCTGTTTCACACCACAAACAAGAATTTACAGAGAAGCTTGATGCAAAGAGAAAACACACAAATTTTTGGTCCAAGAACACTATGAAAGAGATATAAGAGTATAAGACGAAGTACCATTGAAGGTTAGAAGGAAGCATCCTAACGAGTTCTTTTCGAGAAATTTACAGAAAAAAACATTTACCAGATTCTGACCACCTAAGAATAAGTGATTCCGTCCGACCAGAGTATATGTTTCGATTACTAGTGTTCTTACAGTCATGACGAGGATTGTCCTTCCAGTCATCGAAGAAATGTTCTTACCGCTGTTGACGAAGACCGAACCGGGCCTGAGACTCTCGTGAGCCTGGACAATGCTTTGCTCAATGCCATCGACAATGACGTCAAAGGATTGACGAACGAACCCTAGAGATGTCACGATGTAAGTAACGTACTGGAGATAGCCTCCTGGTCCGGCGTGGGTGTGAATTCCACTTATTGCCACGTTTTTCTCAGTGTAAAGATCTCCATACCTAAAAATGGCAAAAGTCATAACTCTGAATCATGAAGCATCATGATTAAATCTCAATGGTACGAATTCCCAACTTCATCCTCTCCATATGAGATCCTGATTCAGAATCTATGGAATCCGAAGACGATTGAGTAACCATTGTTCGTTCTTACAAGCTCGTATTCTTCTATAAAATCAGTCAAGTCTAAGCTACACATCGTTCATTCGACTGTCCGAATCCGAGAAATCAGGAGAGCCGTACCTGGATTTGAGCCGCTCGAGGACTTTGATGGTGACGATCTGAGACGCCATACACGCGTCGAGATTCACAAACGCGACGCGATTCCCGCGAGGCTCGGCGACGATGAAGGCACGAGCTCGTAATCGGAAATGGACACCGGAAGCGATCTGGTCGGAGTTCGCGTAACCCATCATGTTGACGTCGGCGGCCGGACCGGTGATGTCATAGCTTCCGACGCCGATCAAGTAGTCGGAAGACGACAACGAACACATCCCGGCGAAGAGAAGCAGCGACAGCAAAAACGCCATCGACGGCGCTGGTGAGGCCATTGTGGAGGCCAACTCCAGAGTAGGAAACTGAGAATTCGAAATGGATTGGTTGTGAGACGAGAGCTTCACGAAGAAGAGAGAGAGCCACCCGCCATGGAAAATACTTGCCGTGAGGTTTGGGTGTAAACGCGAAAATTCAAATGTGGAAACGCGAGGCTTGCAGTGGATGTCGGCACTACTCTCACTTCCTTTTTCCAAGCAAATGCTGTCTCTTTTTTTTTTTTTACTCACACAATGTTCTTGTTGTGTAATATATCAACAATAAGAACTTATAAAAAATAAATATGTATATACATATATATATATATAATGATTAATAATGTTGATTTGAGCGGAGAAATAAATACTTTTCTTTATTTAATTTGTAAGATTATATTATTTATAGATATGGATTATAGAATGTTTTATTTACTTAATATAAATATTTAAGATATAAAGATAAAATCAAATATTATTTTCTCTATTTTTATATGGCCTTTAAATTCAAGAAGTAAAAAAAAAGCAATTTGAAATTGTAATTTGGAAGAAAATCAATGGATTTAATCATTTGAAGTATAAACAAAGATAATTTCGGTGGATGAAAGGAACGTAGAAGTGATAAAATATTTGAATCCTATTGTAGTATTTGTTGATTTTGATCTAAAATTGGATGAAGATGACTTTTTTAGTGCGTGTATGTGTATATATATTAATAAAAATAGAATTAAAATCGAATTCAAAAGATAAATATCTTTTAATTAAATTTTTTGAATCAAAGATAATCTATTCAAACTACAAATAAGTATTTTTTTTTTGGTGTGAACAGAAAATATGAACGAGGAAGTGAAGGAAGTGGAGAAAGAGAGGGCGACTGAATCATAATGAAGTGAGAGGTGGTGCGTTGTGGTGGGTGGATAATTTACGAGGCCTCGACACGTCACCAGAGCTATTATTGCGGTATATATAATTATGTGTTCAACGCGTCACAAATTTTATTCTTAGTGACTTGTTTATTCGGTCGGTCCAAATTATGCGCAGAGGATACACGTATTTAATCGATAATGTTAAAATCATAGTTGTCATTATCCCGATACGAATATTCAAACTTCCAGATGTCAAATCTCTGTCTCCATCGAAGGTTCGTATCACGTGCAACGAATCTAATCCTTACAAATTAAATTAAGTTATAATAAAATCCATTTTCACATGTTTTTATTATTATACCAACGTCAAGGTCAAATAAAATCATATATAAATATCTAAATTCTCAGATTTATTTTGAACTATAAAACTTTATACATAAAGAACTTTTCAAAACTTTCACAAAAATATACAAAATTTTAAAAATCTTAAAAAATCTTATTTTTTGCAATTCTCTCTGTTAAATCATTAATTTTTGACGAATTCTATTATAAATTAAATATCCTTAATAAATTTTAATTTTATTTAAAATTTTAGATATTTATATAAAAATTTTGAAAATTTATATATTTTTATAAAAATTTTATAATTCAGTTAAATTATATACGATTTTTCCGACTAGTAACCGCGACAAATGAATATAAGTGATATTCCACATGACCACTCTCCGTTATTACCATTTTGGGCTTTTATTACAATTTTGGGCTGTCAGAGAAAAGATTAGATTCAGTCATCACCATTACCATCATCATCATCACCATCATCATCATCACCAAAAGTAGAAAAAATTTATATAGAGTTACGAGTAATGGAGTTAAAGAGTTAACAAATGCAAGCAAATGAAAGCAAAAGACCTAAATCACTTGGAAGCGTTTCCTGCCTTTGAGGAACCCTTCTTCTTGTTGAACACACTCTTCTTAGGTTTCAACTTGTCTTGGCTCTTTGTCGGTCTCTTTCTCTCCTTCTTCACGTTATACATGTTTATGGCCTAAAACCACCAATTTCAAAACAAAAACAAAAACTCATTTTAAAAAAATAAAATAAAAAAGAACCCTAGTTTTGATTTTCCAGCACTCAATATTATCATATATCTTTGTTATATATATTACCTTATTGACGTTGAGAATCTCGTGTGAATTCTTCGAGATTATCTTGCTAAGCACTTTATCCGTCTGCTCCTTCTCCCGCGAGCCCATCCCAGATCCCTCCACCACCGGCAAATACTGAGCAGAAAACAAGAATGCTCTTCCTTAATCAGACAGTGATCTTTCTTCATAAACAAATCCATGGTTTCTTTTAATTCCACAGACCCCATATTCCCTATTGAGCAGAGGATATTTGTGTATACCTTGTGATGTTTGCCTAGCTTCTTAGGAGCCTTTTCTCCGGGCAACTTCTTATCGAATTTCCCACCACTAGCGGTCGAGGTAGCGGCCAAACCAGCCACGTTTCCCAGTTCTTCTTTTCCGACTTTCTTGGATTGAGCCTGTGTTCCAGTTATGGGCAATGCCGTAGCAGCAAGTCGGACGTGACTGTAGCATCATAGGACATTTCAAGGTGTGCCGATATCAGAATCGTGTGAAATATATAGTAGGGCAGTCGCAAACAAACAGCTTAGATCAGAAAAAACCTGAATACAAAGGATGCTAAAATGTACTGAAGAGGGAACCAACACAGAGATTGAAAACATATTGTATGTGTTCACTAGAAATAACTTGATTTATTTGCTTATTTTCGGATAGTAGAAACCGGACCACAGCTAGATCAATGACAAAAGCAAAACACCACAATGCAGGATACATGAATTTACCTAACTTGTAAATTGTAAAGGATACACTTTTGATAGCAAAAAAATCGTACTTATGGACAATTCTACTATAAATTTGGTTCTATAAGGGAAAACAAAAGCAGATCTTTAGTTATACTGTATGTTCTTCGATGGAAAAGGACAACACAAGCACAAAGAGAAATGAAATGCATAAAAATAGCATACCTTGGCAAAGCACCTACTTTTGCAGCCGCCTTCAAGTTTTGCAATCGGTTCTTTTCTTGCTTTTCAACTTTCTTCTTTTTCTCTTCCTGTCTCTTGGCGAAAGGATCTTCTCCTGGTTCTGCAGTAAGACCAGAGCATTTTTCAGAACAAAAGAAATATGTCATCCCTCCCAAAACACAACAGATTTAACTCTCTTTCAGTCGACACTTTGTAGATATGCTTCTTCAAAGCAATAACATAAGTAGCAGTATGGGGGTAAGAAAAGTTTACTAGAATTACCATCTGTGGGCTTTGCCTCAATAATAGGAATATCATTATCATCATTAACACGGTCGTAACCATGCCGGCGTTTCCATTGACTAGTTTGTTCATCCCATACAACCTTGTCCTTCTTCCGCTTCTTTATACCTGTGAAACGTATTAGGAGGAATTCAGCATTAAAAACTAGGTCTGACAAGTAGAAAAAATGAGATAATTATCCTGCTATGAAGTTCAACGCGAACAAGATCAAGCAAGCTGCATTCCATAATTTCCATGAAAACCAGAGAGCAAGGATTAAATTACCTTTTTTGTTAGCAAATTCTTCCCACTTTGTAAGAGGCTTAGGCTTTGGAAGCTGGAAAACAAGATAGGACGATGTGAGGTAAAAGGAGGACAGACAGAATGCCACAAGTCCCTCAAATTTTATATTTGTTGTTAGCCATTTGAAATGTTCTCAAAACACATAATTCACATTTTGAAGACATGTCTTATCAACAAACTTTCAAATGCTATACTTATCCAGAGACATGAAAATTTTGGATATTCCTTGTTAAGTGCTGATGCAACAAAAGCTATGGATTTCCAAAACATATGCATGGCTTTAATAAACAACTTTATCACCCTTGATGAGTGATTCAAGGACTACAAAAGAGAAAAAATGATTAACATTTCTTGTTGTGACCGATCTGACAGGTAAATATAGAGAAAGTAACACATAAAAGGATGAACTTACATGCTTCTCCCTGGGAAGTTTTGTTGTGGGTGGAGGCAACTGGACAAGAGGACCATCAACAGTTTCGGTAGAAGGCAAGTTAAAAATACTGTCAGCTATTGCCTGAACGAGCTTTGTTCCTTCCTTAATACATTGCTTCGCAAGTTCATCCCTAAATAAAACCGAGAAGACACAATTAAGAAACATAACTAGTTTAAACTCCCACTGAGAAGACAGTCTCAAATTAGATAAGTGTTCAACTGCTAAAACAAAGATCTAGAGTCTCTACATAATTACAGAGAATTGCCAGAGATTATATGTTCAACTGCTAAAACCATTTCTAATAGAACAAGAGCATGATAGTAAAATAGAGAATGGAGTTATATCGATGATGCAAAAGCACGAAGCCGTGTGAAGGCCAGTGGCAATCCAGGCATGGTTTATGACATAGAACAGCAATTTATCCAAGCGAAGAAAGATAGTCATGGTGTAACTATAAACCACCAGAAAAGAAAAAAAAAAGAGTTGCTAGTTAGAACAAGCCTACACAAGATGCACCATTGGAAATTCTAATCCCTTCACCTTCAGCTAAAAACCACCAGAAAAAAACCCTAATTCTTTCTGGAAGCTGTTTAGGCAAATGCAACATTTTGTTTTCCTCCTCAGCGACAACAAACTTACAAGCAATAACGGCACAAACCCATCTCAGATTCATCGAAAACAAGCTAAAATCTTCATCAAAGACAAGAATCAAAACATCAAAGAGCTCGCTCCAGAGTCCACGAAGCCAGTATTACAACATCGGAGAAAGGAAATAGCCGAACCTTGAAGGAACAGAGGGAATCCGGTGGTTGGGATTGAAGGCCGTAAGATTTCCGACATCTATCTGATACAGCGTGTTCTCCGTCTCCATGTTTCCGCGTCTCTCTGTTCCTGGATCCAGAGGTGAGCGAACGGACGAGAGAGGTTTTGTTTAGGGTTTTGGTATTTCGAAAGTAGTAGCAACTAGAAACTAGCAAGGTAGCCGACGGCTTGAAACGCAAACGCAATGTCCTGCCAACGCAAACGCTCATCTTCGCCGGGTTCTTTTTTTATGTAAGAAGACAGTTTTACCCTTCTCTGTCTTTGAATTTTCGCTAAACCCGATGGCGGCCCATTTGGAAATTGGCGGCGGCAAATATCGAAAGCCCATTGGACCGGCCGTGAGATATGATTTTCGCTTTATTTAAATTAGCACATTTTTTTAAAATTAAAATTTGATTGTAATTTAACCAATTTATCATTTCGTAATTATTAGAAAATTCTTCTCCCTCTCTCTATCACCTTTTCAAACAGATATTTGGCATAATCAAATAACATTAGAATGGATCACCCATCTCAAAACCGACATGAATGAATTCTCGATCATTTCCTACCACATGGATGGAACATAAACCTGTTCTTTAAGATTCTGAGCTGCACTTTCAGTAGGGAAACCTCTAACTGCTCCGATTGTCCACTGAGCTATGATCCCGGCTGCAATGGCGAACCTGAGCTGTCTCTCCGTTACATCTCCATCTTCGAACATCTCCGGACAAGTTGTCAGCTTTCTCATTATCCCCGCGACGACGGCATCTCCTGAACCCGTCCTGTCACACGTGAACGGCGTTATGAGCACATCCTCCGTTCCGACCACTACCCCGTCGAAAGAAGGAGCGTAGTAATGGATCCGTAACGTTCCATCCGTCACAAACAAGAACTTGAGCCCGTCGTGCCACAAGGGTTCGATCTCTTCCCGGGTGTAGTGGTAATAGTCCCTCCGGTTCTTGGTCTGCTCGAATTTCTCCGCGTAGTATTGGGGTGTGTAGTTTCTCTTCCTCTCGTAGTCATCTTCGTCGAGGAGGAACTCCAGCTCTTGTCGAGAAACTTCTATGATGTTCGCTTTGTTCCACGCTTTCTTGATCAGTTCCCTCGTCTCGTCACGAGATTTCCACAGAGGCAATGGCAGATTCAGGTCGAAGAAGATTAGCCCTCCGAACTTTACAGACCACTGTATTGCCTTGAAGAGAGTTGATCTCATTGTAGGAGACGTCAAAACTTCTGAATTGAAATGGAAAATTCTTGCCTGCAATTGCAATCGGAAACCAGAAATGCTAAAGCTCAAGAAACATAGCTATGGTAACCACATAAAGGGCATACATATATATCAAGATCAGAATCATGCATGACCATGAAGCTCAAGCTCAAGCTTTTCAGGTTAAACTCAACATTCATATCTAAGAGCAGAGAAAACATTCATACCAAAGTATCTGTTCTGTTCCAATATATGATGTTGAATCACTGATACATTTTCAGAATCAACAAATTTATTTACCTCTTTCAGGACAGCTAAGCTCAGCTCTGATGCAAGAAGCGAATCCTCGGCCGATTCTTTCACCGTCTCCGCCTTCATCTTCCCGTCCTCGAACTTGATCTTCACGTGAGTAGAAGCAGTCTTAGAGTTCTCGTCGAATTTCACAGCTCTCGTCTGAACTTTCTCCTTGTTCATCATCAGCACGAGCTCGTCCCCGAAATCGTCGTCTCCGACTTTGCCCATGAACGCCGCTCGTCCACCAAGCCGCACGTGTGAGATCGCCACGTTTGACGGCGGTCCTCCCGGAGCACGACCGAACTCCGGCGGGTCCCACTGCAGCATCTTCCACTGTGAGTACATGTCAGGGTGCATCGGGTTATCGTGCACCCGCACCACGGGAACAAACTCCTTCCGGACGGATCCGAAGCAACACACCAACGGTGGGTCGTCGTACGGGAAATCTAAGCCGTCGTCGTAATCCTCGAGCTCGGATTCATCTCCCTCCTCTTTCTGCTGCGATCTCGTTTCCGGGTCAGTCTCGATTGACCCGTTTCCCATCCGGGTTTCAAGCTTTGCTCGCTCTTCAGTTGCGGGTTGCTTCTTTTTCCTGCCTCTGCGACTAGGTTTTGGAGTTTCTGGGGCCGTTCCGTTTGTGATGTCGCCATTAATGGAAGCTTTCGGGCAAACATAATGCCCTAAAGCTCGTAAATTTCGAGGTCTCAGTATCTGGGCAGCTGCATTTCTAGGGCTTTTGATGAGAGGTGAGTAACATAGGTGATGAAGATGAGGAAGAAGAAGGAAAGAAGCCATGGGTTTTTGCTTCCATGTCAGGGTTTATCCATTTTCCCCTATTTCATGAAAATCCTACCGGGTCCTACTCGACCCGACCCGGCTATGAGGGGCCGATTCGGGTTGTTTTGCACATTCCTGCCGGATGAATCTGACGGTTCACATTTCATCTATTGACTCGAAACAGAAATCTAGACCGTTGGATTAACAAGACGCTCGATCACATCGCGCGAGAAAAATGATAATAAACAGCAAAAGGAAACAACTTGGCCACTCGGGGGTTCTCCGATTGTGTCGTCGATCTCCGGCGAACAAGCTTTTGTTAACCCAGATCTCTCAAATTCAACTCGCTTCCCCTTCGATTTCGAAAACAGGGTCTGAAATTCCACGCCGACTGTCGATCGATCAGTTTGGGTTTTCCTCGATTCCAGGTTTTCCCCGGTAAGTTTTACTTGATTTCAGGCATTCTCGAGCTTGATAAATTTAGGGTTCTCATTTCTTTGTAGAAATCGATTGATCAGGATGGTTTAGGGTTATAACTTGTTTTTACGAGGGAGTTCAGATTGCCAAATGAGAGTCTCGATCTGTCGTTGAGATCCGTGATCAGGGTTCATAAGTCCTGCATAATATGTAATGTTTATCTGACGGAAACAGGGCTCGTGATCAAATGACGCTAGTCTTTTTGAATCGATGTCCAATCCAGTTCAAGAACTTTCCCATCTCTAATGGGCATTCCTCTCCGCTGATTGTAGTTCATGTTCTTTTTGTTTCTTCAGATATCAAAGCAAGGAATTTAACAAGACCTTGAACTAAGCATCAAGGTTTACATTTCCTCAGGTATGCATATATTGCTCTGGAATCTCTCTTATGCTGTATTGTTCGAGGGGTTTAATACTGTTCCCGGTAGATCTCTAAGGCTTGATCCAGTAGCATCATCGTCGTATATACTGGGATCTGTAAGCTTGTCTCCTCTCCCGCAGATATTGAGCTCTAGGTGATGTGTTTGATATTTCAACTTGAATCCGAAATCGATAGCCCTGTTTGGTCTTGTTGTTCTTCCTGGTAGAAAACCTCATCTAGTGTGTGGTTGGATTTATCTTAGATCAAGTTTTTGATTGGAGATACAGCTTCTGGTTGGCTGCTGAGAGTTATCTGTGTTGTTCAAGATTTATGGCCTCCACCATGAAATTCCTTTAAAACACTGAGTAACTATACTTTTGTAGTGTTTCAAGTGGTTCTTGTTCATTCATAGGATTCTCCTTCTTTAAAGATCACTTCTCCGCTCGAAACCATAAGCTCTGAGTTGTTTTCTTGAATCTGCTTTCGTTTCCCTTTGCTCTCTTGATGTTTGCCTGTAAAAATCAGAAGACTTTCTTCTCTCTCGATGATTCTCATCATCTTAAACCTCGCTGCATCACAGAGAATCATGGGTTTCTGGACGTTGATGGAAGGCTTGCTGCTATTTGCCAACGCACTCGCCATCCTCAACGAGGATCGTTTTCTTGCTCCGAGAGGGTGGACACTTGCAGAGCTCCAAACAGGCAGGAGAAACTCACTCAAAGGTCAGATCATCGGTCTCATCCATGCGTGTCAGTATATGAGACTGCCTCTCATGCTCTTGAACATCATAGTCATTGTCCTCAAGCTGTTCTCCGGGTGAAGACCAGACTTTTGTGCCATCCTTTGACCTCTGTAATCATCGTTCAGTTGGGAAGTGTTAAACATTTCTTCGGAACTCAGTCCACCATTTCTTGTCTATCTGAATCTTTTTTATACAGTTTTTGCCAAATTTCCGTGAAACCCTTCTCTCAAGTTGCAAACTTTATGATTATCAGACCACAGACCAAGATAGGGCCAATGTAAGACAGATCTGTTCAAGGTTTATGTCCACACATTTTTGTCTGGTTTACTCAAAACCCTTCTCGAAACCACAAACACATTGATCATTACATTTTATATAACATCATTTCATAGAGAAGACAAGTTCTTGAACTGCAACAGAAAAAGGTATGAAACTTTGGATCTGGTGGTTAGGGGTTTCATCGGATTCATTCCACAGGGATCATGACCTCGTTGGTCCTGCACCATGGCAGAGTCCATGGCGGATTATACCTCGCCAGCACAAGATCTCCGGTGACTTTAACGCCTTCTCTCTCCAAATCAGTCCTTAGCTTCTCCGCCTTCTCCTTCACCACCGCTTCCGTCGCAACCCCACTGAACCTCACCACGCCGTACCTCCTCCCCCCCTCCGCCTTTATCACCACCCTCTCCTCCGTCGGCCTCGGCGCCTCCTCCGCCGTCTTGTACTTCGCCGGTAACACGAACTGCATCGTCACCGTCTTCCCTCCTCCTTCCTTCGTCACCACCGGTGCCGTCATCTCGATCTTCTCCCCCTCCTTCGTGATCACCGGCGCCGTCATCGCGATCTTCTCCGGCTTCTCGTTGTGCGGCTTACCCAACGCTCCGATGTAGTTGGCCAAGACGGTGAAGCCTCCGTCTTTGTTACCCTTGAACTCCGACGGGTCGTACGTGAACTCCGCCACGACGGCCGGAGGATATTCCCGGACTTCGTAGCCGTCCCCGGATTTTACGACCTTGTATTCCGGCGTCTCTACTCCGATCTTACCGAACACCATACCCATTATGAGAATTCTGATGATGAACCCAGATTCACGATGGTTGTGAAAAAGGGGGGGTTTATAAAGAATTTTCGAGAAGTGGGGAATTAAGAATTGGGTTTTCGGTGGTGGAATCTGAGATGGGTCGAGAAATTTTCGACGTCGCGACACGGTTACTTGGGGTCCAAGATACACAGAACTTGTTGGACACGTCTGTGATTGTGTGGCTGATAGAATTTGCAGATCGTCATGTTCTTGTGGATGTTCTGCTTCCACGACGATGATTCAAAATCCGCGAGACACGACTATACGAATATACAGGCGTATATTATATGCATATACAGAGAGAGAGACATGCTTGATATTTTCTTAAACGGCAGGTATGTTTTGGTATCTGCATTAAAACGGCACGCAGTCATCTTCTCTGTGGTAAAGATGGGCTTGGATCTTGATGGGAAAGTTGATAAGCCCAATGTCTCGGCCCAACAACTATCCTTCACGAGTATCGGACCAAACTATCTCTGTTTCCAAACAGGCCAACTAGTAAGGGGGGGACAGGCCCTCAAGTTTTCAAACCCAATGCACATGATTTCATAATAACAAAGGGAAAATCTATATATATTAATAAAGATGTTTAAAGAGATTTGGTGAGGACACATCATCATCTTATATGGCACTTTTCTCAATTTTTATTAGTTCATTAATTTTCACATATATTATATATTATATATATTATTTTTCTAAATTAAAAAGTAAAACTGACAACCATTAAAAAATATAATTATGGTGCATTTAATATCAAAAAATATCTACGTTTCAAAACCATATATTGGATGAAGTGGTTAATATTTTTATTGGTTCATTAAAATCTTTGTTTATAATAATTTCAAAGTTTGATTATATTATCACTAATTTTTGGTATGCACATTAGAAAAAATCTATTTCATTGTTAGTTTTATATAATAAAATCTATATATATAAATATTTTTATACTATTTTTAGATTATTATAATAAAGATTTTTAACACATTAATTTGTATATGATTAAAATTAAAATTAATCTTAATATATAACAAGTTCATTTTGATCGTAGTTTTACAGATTTATATTAAATTTTTTGGTTATTTTGATATAAAAAATTATTAATAGATTATTATCATATAAAAATGATTTAAAAAATTAACTTTATAATATAAAAAAACATTAACACGTTCTCTTGCAATAAAAGAAAATCTATATATAAATAATAAGGTTTGAAGAGATTTGAAAAACTTATGTGAAAATTAAAAATAAAATTTTGTATTTCATTTGTAAATTTAGCTTGAATATAAAAAAAAAAGTAACATAATCACTCTACATGATATTGCATTAATTGATATTTTAGTGGGAAAAAATCTATAAAGAACGGAAGAACAATAAAACAATAAATCGAGAGTATTCATATCCGTTAACCAGTAACCACTAATTAGCATAATTATTATTGTAGTAAATGGATATTATTGTATTTTTATGTAGTGGAGAAAAAATTAAAACAAATAAATGTGGCCAAGACTATTCATTAGCCCACTAACAAAACAACAAAAAAACGGTGGTCAAGTATTGACTGTCAATTATTATTTGATATTTTTAAAGAAGTATTTTTTCTATATAATCCGCAAATAGAGTTCGGTGTTCTTCCCACCAATTTCTTCACTTACCCTCCTAAGTTTTTTTTTTAATCTGCAATTTTCTTTTTGGATTTTAATATTTTCAGTAATTTTGCAGGGAATTCTCCAATAGATATCTTGAAAGTATAAGTCAGATTGTTCGACAATTTGTTTGGTAAGAAAGACAATGTTTACAATTATAAATTTATTATTATATACTTTTTTCTTTTATTATTTATATTTTACATATATGAATATTATGATTGTACATGTAGAACAAAAGATGCGACAATTAAAAAAATATTATTAAAATAAATGACGTGTATGTATATATATTGATTTATTTATTTTTATAATTAATTATTTATATCATTTAATAAATTACTATAGCTATAACAAAGTTTATATACAATCATTTTTAAATATATGAAGCAATAACAGAGTTATCGGAAATATTGGTGACTTTGTTAGAGATGTAGAGTTGCTTACCATGGGAAACAAAGAGGGTTATGTGCTAAACGAGGTCTTTGCCGATACATGATTGGTCGGGTACCTTAGTTTCAAATATTTTTGTTATTTTGTTTTGATAGATCTTACATTTTATAGGATTATTTGGATTTTTTTTACTTTCTCCTTAGCGCATCACCGATTGACTATTAAAAAAACTATATTCTTCGGTTTTATTTTGATTTTTTGCTTCAATCCAAGTTTTATTAGAGACCAGATCAGATGTATTTATCCTTTTTTCAAAAGAATATTTTTATCTTTTTTATCTTATTTTGTTTGTTTTTTATCTCGACAAAACTCGGTTAATTTGATTTTACAGATTATATATATTCTTTTCAAATCAAATCTATTTTAACTATAAATATAAGTATATTTTAAAACTCACTTAATCTATTTTTTGAATAACCTAATTTTAATTAAAAAAAATATAAATATGATTGTATAAACGATTTATAAAATCGATATCAATTATGTATTTTAGCCTTTTGGATATCTTCATTATTTATTTATTTATTTTATTTGGTCTCTTTAAAATTTTAGTTTAATTATAAAATAAAATTAAAAAATATTATTAAATATTATAGTTATTTTTTTAAAAAAAATTGTATTTGACGACTTATTATGAAGTTACCTAAATATCCACATCATTATCTATATGGAAAATTTTAAAATTTTAATTGATTACTTAAAATCTTTACTAAGATGTGTAAGTTCATTTGACTATCATAAATTTTTGTACATGAAAAAAGGTTTAAAAAAATTAGATGACACATATTTTAAAAACTAAATATTCCAAATCATCATGACCTATATAGCTTATTAATTTTTTAAAATTAATTATAGTTTTATAAGGTTTGTTGATATCAATATTATAAAAAATTCTTACTTTACATTAATGGATTAAACAACTTTAGAGCTTCCTTAAGATGTTCTTGATACAATCTATGTTCTGTTTATATGGAAAAATGTGTATGCATTTCTGAGCAAGATAGTAAGGGAGGTGAAGACGAATTTTAGATGTTATTCGGATTATGAGAAACTGATTAAAAAAATTGGAGAAACAGCAAACATGTGAAAGTTTTTTAAATTTTTATTGGATATTAATTTTTCATTAGTTATGATTAGAATATCACTAATTGACACACACATACCACTAATTACTACACATAAAAATAGGTTTATATTATTATAGTTTAAAAATTAAAAAAATCAGTTTAATATAACTTGAATATAAAAATAATTAAAATTTCATTAAATATTTTTTAAATAAAGAATTAAAATTACAAAAATTCATTCTAAATCCGTCATGTATAAATTACAATATTTTGATTAAATGTCAATCGCCATATATTAATAGTGATTTGTTTTAATGTCAATCAAAATAATTATAATTAAATGATAAATGTTATAGTATATCGAAAAGTCATCATAGTTAATATTTATATTAATAAACATTTTATGTTATGGTGTATTGAAAGGTCATGAATAGTTACTGATATCATTAATAAATAGTTTACGTTGGCCTTACGAATGGAAATTATATACATGCTCATCGTCTTTTACTTATTACTGTAGCCATAAGAAGTAATGGTGTAGAAATGGTTGTTAGGTATCCATGGAATAATCAACAACAGATATACATTTTTTTGTAAAAAAAATAGGAGATATATCTTTAGGTTTTGTTTTTTGGTTTTTTTTGTTTGATAGGCTTTGTTTTGTTACTCTCCATCCTCAGTTTCTCCTCATCTACTGATTGTCTTGCTTCTTAACGTTCTCCATGTTATTGGTAATTGTTATAGATCATATACCCAATTATTCGATAGTATGAACCAACACCATCAGAACTACTCTTGGTCCTTGGAGACTTGCATGCAGATGCAATTATTCTTCCGTGAAATTAACGTTGCAAGAATTTTGTAATTTATGTTTCGCAGTAAGATCATTCCCGTCGTTATAGAATGGACTATCGAAGGATCTCTTTTCTAAAAAAGAACAAAACATAACCTCAGATAAACGGAGGAACTAAGAGGAAATCACATCTAAAATAACCAAATTAATTTAGAGAAACAAATTATTCAAAAAAAAATTTATAGAAACAAAGAGAGAAGAATGACCACTACAAAAATCTCAAATGATGTTCTTTCTCCACCCCAAGATTGTGATAGGTTCAAGGATGCTTTTCAAGGTATGTTTGACCACTTTGTATACATACACACATGTGTGTTTCACGCATTTTTTTAATCATTTTGATGCAGACGATCACATAAGGGATATATATTGCGAATGTGAACAATGCGACGGATTGACAGAATATTATATATGTATATTATTGAAAAGTATGAAGAGTTTCAGTTGTATAGAGTTTACATATTGTCATTGATTCAAGATCTTCACATCTATGAAATGATAACATATCATTGTTATCAAAATTTACGATATTTATATCAATAATTTTTGTTATCGAAATTCAAGGCATCTACGAAGATTAGACCATCTCTTCACTAATTTTTGCTAAAAAAAAAATATATCAATAATTAATAATTTTGTCTTGCTTAATAATATAATTTTTGCTACATTCATATCAATAATTTATTTAAATAAAAGATAAAAATTTAATATTAACAATAAAAAATGAATAATCCGCGCATCGCGCGGTTATTTTCTAGTTCTACTAAAATACCTGTGAAATTTTTCCATTACAATGCTCTTAATTAGCTAATTAATACATCAATTTATAAATATATGCCAAATCAATACCAACGTTTGACGGTATTAATTTTTCATCCCCGACCTTATACATTCCTAAAGTATTGAATTTGATAAGAAAAGTTTTTCATAAATTTCTAGTATATGTGGACAATAATTCCAATCGAAGCCTCTGGATCAACGAGAAGGTCTCGAATGTGTCCTTACTCTTCCAATTTTACCCCTTAAAACATTACCGCCACAAACAGATGCATCCTGTCCCGGCAAAATCAAAACGATACCGTTTCAAAAGGTTTCAAAATCTCCCGCTCCTTCTGACCCTTTGCTTACCTCCTCCTCCTCCTTGAGATCTGCTGGTTTGATTCATCTTCTTAGGGTTTCGATCTCAGCGAAAATGGGGAAGCCGAGCAGATCCAAGAGATCGGAGAATTTCGAGAAGGGGAAAGTCACTCCGATGCAGGTCGCTTTCCTCGTCGATCGCTACCTCTGCGACAATCGCTTCTCAGAAACCCGATCCGTCTTCAGATCTGAAGCTGCTTCTCTCATGTCAAAATCCCCAGCTTGCGAAGTACGCGAACTAGTAATCGTCACCGACTTTTTAATTTGGGGCATCAATCTGTGATTTGCTAATCTGGGTCTTCGTCTGATTCGCAGGTTCGGGAGAGTTTGATGACTCTGGACGATATTATAAACGAATACATATGCCTGAAGGAGCAGAAGGTGATGGCGGATCAGGAGAGATCGAGATTGGAGCAGGAGAAAGCTAGGGTTCAGAATCTATTGCAGGGAATGCAGGATGTGATGAACGCTTACAACGCTAGTGTGGCCGCAGCTCCTCCAGGAATTCCGGCGGCGGCTCCTACTCCGGAGATCCCGCTGGTTTCTCAAACGACCGTCATGACTCCTCAGCAGAACAACTTCCATAGTTCTCCTTCAGGTGCTGAGACTTTTGAGCACAATACTGCCTTTTGCATTTCGCTTGGCTTTGACTAGAATGATTAGGACCTGGATTTGTGCCTCATAAGCTGTTGATCTTGACTGTTTATTGTTCCAATGTAGAATTTGAATCAGTTTTAACAGTAGATTGATAATGCCTAGTGATGCGGATTCTGCAGTGGAAGTATCTGTTAGGCATGGCCTGATATATGCTTGATATGAGAAGTTAAGAATGATTACTCAGATTTCCTGTTACATCTTCACCCGTGTAGAACTAATCACGTGTTGTTATTTTCAGGCTGCATTACTCAGATTTCCTGTTACATCTTCACCCGTGTAGAACTAATCACGTGTTGTTATTTTCAGGCTGCACTGTGTACAAGACAGCAAATATCATGCCAGTGTCCTTACCAGGTAACAAGAGAGTAGAATGCAGGAATTTCTCGACACCTTCCACCAGCCAGTCCATGACCAGAAAGCGAAAGGGTCCTGAATTTTCTTCCGGGGCTCCTCCTATTTCTAGGAAAACACGGAACAAGACAGAAATTCACAATCCGGCTACCGATGGTAGTAACTGTGTATATATATGCCTTTATGTTTGTTCCTTAACTGATTCATTTAACGGAAAGCCTCTGAATTTCTAGTACTGGAACTTGTCTCCCGTCTTCTCTTCTTTCCCAGGACTCGGGATGGATAAATTCCCACAACCTGACAAGGTGATTAGCTGCTCGGCATCTGAAACTCCATCTGACGTACAAACATTGGCCAAGAGCTGTTCAGCTACCGAGATATCTGGCCATGGATCCAATGTGGCAAAGTGTTTGTTCAATAAAGCTGTTGTGTCACCTTCGACCACTTCGACTTGCCCTAACACCCCGCAAATGCAAGCATCTCCTAAGAGTGATAAGTCTATCACTCCGCAAGACTTGACTCCTACAAACTGCACAATTGTTAGCAAGGAGAGAATCACTGTCAGCCCTCTCAAGCAAATTGCTTCCTATGCAGTGGAAAGGAGCCAAGTCATTTCATCATCACCTGCCAAGTCTAACAAGAGGGGCCTTGTGAAAGGAAGACTCAACTTTGACGGCTCTGTCCCACCAACAACTGCTGTGGATAGGGTTTCGACTCCCTCATCCGGGTCTGAACAGGAAACAGATTTGTCAGAAATGGATTTTCCTACCCTAGATCTCTTGGGAGAAACTTTCTCATTTTCCGAGCTACTAAGTGATTTCGATCTTGGTTATGTAGGAGCCATGGAAACAGTTTCCGGGTATTGTCCTCTTTGGCTCACAGGATCGATTTTCAGAAAGTTTTCAATTGTTCTTCACCATTTGCTGATATGTTATGTTCAGTGATAGGTCATCTTCTGAACCAGGGGGCAGGAAACTATAATCTCACCCTGTCGTGTCAGATTGAACACACAAGGTGGGCAAAGTCTTGATTTCCAATAGGTGATGAACATATATTAGCTTCTTCAATTCACATTTTACTCATGTCTCGTTTTCAGGATCTGTCGGTACGACTGCTCTTAAATCCGTAACCAGATGCATTAGTATCTCAAGTCCTGGTCTGGTAATTTCGCCGTCCTTTTCCTGCTG